ATCTCTGCACTGCTGCAGACGCACCGCTCCTGGAAGGACCGCAACCGTGTGCAGTGAATGCTTTAATCTGTTAACATGAGCGCGGAAAAAATACGCACCACGTATGCACTGCAAACGGAGTAATGTGAACCTGGCATTATGTGTGTGCGCTGCAATTGTGCATGAGCACACGGTCTCCAGGAGAGTGCGCGAGCGCTGAATGGTTAAACACTGGCAAGAATTAAAAAGTAATGCAATTTATAAACTTTAGTGACGATGTGACACTGCCTCGACTGTGCAAGTGACAATTCCTGTGTCAACTGTGCAGCGTGCAGCTCGCTTATAGACAGACGCGATGTGGTGATTTGAAGACATTTGCGTATTTTGAGAGAGAAAGAGGGAGAGGGCGCGCACGGTGATTCACTCACGCTGTTTGTGAAATTATGTCTCACACAAGGTTTTCAAATTACTTCAAGTTATTTAATGAAGAAATATGAAGGTGAGTGAATCACCATTCACCAGCATTATAATTATTTCACCCGCGCCGGACAGAGACTTAGACGGTGCCGCTGCATGTCATGCCAAACCTCTCACGGCAGTGTCATCAGTTATGAGATCGTTTTTTTGAGATCGGCCTTTTTAGAGACCGCCGATCAATCATCCCAACGTGATTATCGGCCGATAGTGATCGGTAGCCGATCAATCGGAGCACCCCTAGTTAGGACTAACAGCCTTATCAGTGGATAAAAGTATCTTTATTTAATATTTTGTAAAATAAAGAAATATAAAATTCTTTCATTTTTTTATTAAATATGCACTACTGTTAAAAGGTTTTGATTCAGTTAGATTTTTTTTTAAGGTAACATTCATTCAGCACACATGCATTAAATTGATCTAAAGTGACAGTAAAGACTTAAAATACATTGCTTTTACATTGTTTCCTTTTACATAATTTCCACAAAAATATTGGGCATCACATCTTTTGATTTACATTTATACATTATAACATTTATAATAAGAAGAAATTTTTCTTTAGCACCAAAGCACGTCTTCTGCATATTACAATGATTTCTGAAGGATCATGTGGATCAAATCTGCTGAAAATTCAGCTTTTCCGTCACAGGAATAAATGAGCCTACTCTTTAAAATATATTAAAATAGAAAACTTCTATTTTAAATTGTAATAATATTTCACATGGTATTGTTGTATTTACTGAACCTTTATTCAAAAACATAAAAAAAAATCTTACAGACCCCAAACTTTTAAACAGCACTGTAGATAATAAGAAATTGAAACTAATTTTAATGAATCCACTGTCTGCGTTTCTTTGAGTGCCCACGTTTTAAAGAGACTAGAAATCAAAATATGGCAGTGGCATGCATATCATTCTTAGAATGCCTGAAATCCTGTTTTGATCTTACATGTGCATTTGTCTGTGATGATATTTTCTAGGGCTGTCGCGATTCTTCGATTTTATTAGACTATTCAATTTTTAAAAATCCTCGACTTCATTTTGCTCGCGTCGACAACCCGGCAAAATACCGGAAGTGGCGACAACCCGGCAAAATACCGGAAGTGGCGTATTTCACAGACGAGAATGTATAAAACACATTATTAGTCTGTTTTCCAAGGCTGCATGATATATTAGACCCATTTAAAAATAATTAAGCATAATTGTAAATTCACAAACGCTACGATTTAATTAAATAATTATGTGCGATGCAGTTCTAATACAATATATGCACTTTAATTATTTACATGCGTGTACAGGGCCGCATTTACGCATAGGCATTCTAGGCACGTGCCTATGCTTGCTCGTCAAGGGGTGGCCCAAACACAATGAAGAGATATATAATATTTTTGTTATACTATGGGATAAGGGGGGGCCCAAACACAATGAAGAGATATATAATATTTTTGTTATACTATGGGATATCTACAGCAGTAAAAGAACCAAAACCCCAGAAGACATTGAGCAAATAAATATAACAAACAATAGGGTAAAATTGACAACCTATTTCCATGTCTTCAACCTTTATGTACGGAAATCACGCTTTCTTTTTCCCGTTTTCTCTCACACACGCACACACATAGACACGTACTCGTGCACACACGCGGAGACGCGGACAGAAACTTGTCATCAGCGCTGCGGCTGTCCCATCAATTTGTTTGAATTCTCAAACAAATTAAGAACCTACATTCGATTTTTATTGACTGAAGGCAAGCGTTTATTGCGATAGAAAACACTGTAATGGTTTCTACTGATTTAAGAAATATTTTTGTTTGCTTGGGTGGTAATATTAGGCCTGTTATATTAATAGGGAAGGGGGGCCCAAAAATTTGTTTTGCCTATGTCACGAAAAGAGGT